CTGTCTCAGCTGTGAAGTGATTTCTCTTTGTAGAGCGAGTTCAGCCCACTCCACTCATTTCAATGCATTTATCAGAGATGAAAGACAGCTGAGAAAACAGTTGGACGTAAAGAGGCTTTTATTTTGACATGTTGTCAGCAGACCAGACTTAAAGTCGGCGAATAAGCTGCTTTTGTCTGAGTCTCTTGGTGAACTGTCTTCTCTCTACAAACAGACTCTTTAATGTGTGTTTTATAACAGATAAAGTCAAGACGAGGAAATCATCAGCCAATCATTGATGCTTTCATCCAGGCAGTCTAATCAGACTGAGATATGATCTTTAACAGGACAATAGCTAATAATAAACCTCATGATGCCTTTATTTGAGAACAGCTGATAATGAGTCTCTTTGATGGAGTTCAGTTCATAATTTCCATCCTGATCAGATGAAGAACAATCTGTGAGTGATGTGGAGGGAAACAGATCTACCGTCACCTCCTTCTTTTATTAAAACACTCGACAGTTTTAGAGCTCTCGGGCTGCTCTGACGATGAATGAAATTAAAATGTTCATTCTGACGGAGTCAGCGTTTCGCTGTCTGTCATCAGGTTAAAGTGCTGACATTTCCTTTAGTATTCGGTGACCCTGAATGCCTCCTAACAGCATCACTTCCTGTCTGCTGCCAGCAAACACAGAGCCTTCAGAGAAACGTCACTGTGTTGTCATACCTGTACTTCCACGCTGTTTAGTTTGCCAGAAAAGATTCAGTTTGTCCCAACATGCAGTAATCAGAGCTTTCCTGTCTGTTCTGACCCACAATCCTCTGAGCAGCAGAAAATACGTCACAATGGCCGAACCGCAGACAGATGACAGCTTATTGACAGAAACCAATCACTCGATCACAGACGATCTATAATGTAGGCAGTTATAGCTACATAAATCACAAAGTAACATCAGCAGAGCTTTGTAGTCCAGAGGCCTGGACTGGACTACAAAGCAGGGTTTGGAGTTAGCGAGGTAATTTCAGGGTTAACTCTGGGTTTTCAGTACTGCGAAGCTGGTTCTCTTTTTACCGGGATAAATCACCATGGTAACTGATGCTGAACAGCTGACCTGCTCCGGAGCAGAGGCCTGAAGCCAGTTCAACTTACCCAGGATATCTTCTCGTTATCTGGTCTGACTAACCCGTCACATCGGCCGTCTGGATAACAGCTACTACAAAGCTGGTTATCAACTACCTCCGGGGCTGTTAATCACGAGTGACATCATCAGAACCACGAATGAAGTCAGCTGCTTCATATGAGATGAAATGAAACAGTACAGAAAGTGTCTGTGACTGGAGGACAGTAAAATGTCAGTGGCGTGGGATGCAAACGGTACTCTTTAATCTTATTATGGAAAATGCAGAAACATTGAAAATAATATCCTAAAACTCACTGTCAGCCAAAACTCAAATACAGTGCAGGAATCACCAGGCTCTACACCAATCAGCCAAATCATGAAAACCACTGACCGATGACATGAACAATACTGACCATCTCGTTACAATGCCATGCTCTGCTGGGAAACCTGTGGTCCTGGCATTCATGTGGACGCTACTGAAAGCACTTTACTCATCCAAACACGCTGCGGACCAATAACACTCCTCGATGGCAGTGCTTCAGCAGAACATGCTCCATGTCTCACCACAAACAATGCTCAGAATGACAAACAGTGCAAGGTATCCACCTGGTCTCCAGATTCCCCAATCTGATCGAGCACCCGTGGAACGTGCCAGTACCCCACCTCACAACTCACAGGTCTCAAAGGATCCACCGCCAACGCCCCAGTGCCAGACTCCAAAGCACACGGCAAGAGGTCCCGTGTCCATGCCTTGACATGTCAGAGCCAAGTCCAATCCTAAAAGGCCCCACAGTGGATCAGGGGTACCTCTGGGGTATGAGCTCGTCCCACGAAAACTCAATCAGATTGGAATCTGGGGAATTTGGAGGCCAGGTCGATGCGTTGAGCTCTCTGTCACGTTCTTCGGGCCACGCCTGACCAGTTTTTGCTCTGCCTGGGGGGCACATTAGTATAGAGTGTTTTACGCTATTTATTTGGGTGATGATGAAATTTCTCTAAATATGTCACATAAAAACCTTTAAAGTAACACCAGACTGTTTCTGCTGCTGAAGTAAAGAGTTATTATTATTATTATTATTGCCTCTTATTTTCTAAAATTAAAAAGTTCCCAGGAAAGAACTGTATGTGATTTAAAATTAGACAGAAAATAGAGACAGTTGTTGACTTTAAATGTTTGACGGATTCCCTGAAAATACATGCACAGTTTAAACCCTAATAAATATTTCTGGATCGTGCATTTATTATGAAAAACTTAAAATATCAAACTGCATATCAGGTTCAAGTTTCCAAGGCACCACTGAAATCTTTCAAGACACTGTCAGTCTGAAAACAGTCCTTCCCAGGCTGTAGTTTTCATGCACATTGTTTAAAAAATGTTTGTAGTAGACGGTTGTTCGATACGATGTTCAGCTGGAGAAAGGAAAGAGCTGCAGAAACTCAAACAGCATCGGATAAATCTGAGTCCCGCCCTCGCTGTTTGACTGACAGCTGATATCTGTGAAGTCCAGCAGCACTAATGATGGAGTCTAAATAAGAAAACAGAATGAGACTCTGAGACAAAACCTTCATCTCCGTCCTCTCTGATCTCCGTCCTGGAGCTCCACAGATGGCTCCATTTAGAGCCTTGAATCAAACGAGCCGGCTTCACTCGGCTCCTCTGCGGCGGTTTGAAGTGTCCCCGTGGTGGATTCGTACCATATGTCCTCATGTAGCAGATGTCCTCTGTGCCAGACTGCAGGTATCGTCCCCTCACCGCCTCCTCCTTCATGTCCGTCGGCTCACTTCAGGGGATCGTTGTTGGTTTTCTGCTCCGTTACCCAGCAGGTGTCTTGTTGTTGTTGTTGTGATGCCTACTTGATAAATATAATTTCTCCCTCAGCCGAGCTGCTGTGTGACGGCTCAGTGTTTAGATTACAGTGATAGCGTTGAGTGAAGTCTTTGTCTCGTCACATCGCTGCTCCGGCTGCAGGAACTCTGACTGATCAAATCACTCAGCAGATAAAAAGGTCAGACTGTGTGACATCAGCCGAGTCAGGGTCTGACCCAGCAGGCGTGAGACGCCAAAGACGAACAGGACACATCAGGGACGGCTCACAACAGAATGAGCGTCCCAAGGTTTTTTCCATCTCTCCTTAAATTTGCTCCCAAACTGTTTGTCTTTTTGAATGAATGAATAATTTTTGTTTTGGTTACATGCATCTTGAGAAAAAAAATTATTTCACAAATTTTTTCACTGTCAAAAACCAAAAAGGAGTAGGCTGAAGCCCCAGAGGATTACCCAGAATATCAGCAAATACCAGAGAAAGAAAATAAATAAATAATAAATAAATACAATTTACCCTAAATTATAATCCTCAATTATTTTACATTTTAAGGCTTTTCTGAAACTCAGGAGAGAGCAACACAGTTTTAACTCAGCTCTAAGTCCATTTCATAGTTTGACTCCAAAAAACTGAAACACATCTGTATTTTACACTGATTCTTACTTTACACGTGTCATAAATAATAAAACCCTCTTAAAGGATCGTTTCCTTTTCTGAATTAGAAAAAATGAATACAGACAGGAAGGCTTCTGTTGACTAGAGATGATACGCCGTCTCACGGTGGTCACTTCCTGTCGACGTTACAGATCAGAAGCACAGAGAGTTGTTGACTAGAGATGATACGCCGTCTCATGGTGGTCACTTCCTGTCAACCAGCAGCTTTTTACAACGTTGCAGAACAGAGCGTTGACAGTAGTCGTTTGTTTCAACTCGTCTCATCGTGAATCTTTGGTCTGAACTGGGTATAACAGAAACCATTGCTGTAAGCGCACCGTGCTAACCAAGCTAGCAGCTAGCGATACAGTTAGCCTTACCCTCTCGTCCAAATATGGCTCCACGTCTGGCTCCAAAAATCCAAGATGGCGATTGCCAGATGTGAAACTCGAGGCTTCAAAACAGGAGTCCACAAACCATTAGGTGACATCACAGTGCCTACGTCCATTATTTTACACAGTCTGTGGTTCAGAGCAACAATGGCAGCTCCTAAAAAGGTTTCTTCATTAAACGAGCGAGGAACTGAAGGCGTTCCTCGACAGAAGAAATGTTTTCACTGACTGGCTTCATCGAGAGTTTGATTTACCACCTGGCTCCAATTGATCTGATTGGTTGAAGTTAGCTGGTGACAGATGGTTTCAAACAACAAAACTCAACGGCTCTAGTTTTTATATAATGTAGGGGCGGGGCTTATGCTAAGGGTTGCTCCACTGCATCATTGAACAGGCTTTAAGCCCCCCCCCCTTAAAAAATCCAGGACACAGGATGGTGACACAGTTTAACTCCACAGTTCAGTCCTGTAGATTTCCCAAATGTCTCTTCATGTTTTCAACAAGTGTTTTCTAATGTGTATCATGTGTTTAGATGTGAATCTCAGATTTTACATTACTCAACTTTAAAAAAGCTTCAACCTCCAGAGAGATGAGGAGTGGATGTGAGAGTGAATCAGGAAGCACCACAGGTGAATCTGTGTGTTTGAGGCTCTGCTGCTGCTGCTGCAGTGAGTCTGTGCTGCAGAGCTGCTGCTGCTGCTCTGTGACTGATGATCTGCTCTCACAGGACTCTGACCATAATGAAACACTGAGTGGACATGTGTTCTGTGTGTGTGTGTGTGTGTGTGTGTGTGTGTGTGTGTGTGTGTGTGTGTGTGTGTGTGTGTGTGTGTGTGGGCTCAGGTGGTGAAGCTCTACATTAATAATAAACTCCATCAGTTTCTCACTGAAGACGAAATGTGTTTTTGTTGTTTCCTCTCTGTTTTTGTGTTGCAGCCAAAACTGAACTGATGTCTCTCCCTCTGTCTGTCTCTCTGTCTGTCTCTGCCTGTCTCTCTGTCTCTGTCTGTCTCTCTGTCTCTGCCTGTAGAAATGAGGATGCTATAAACCAGATGGCCGTCCCCCCCTTCTCGTCTCCCCCTCCTCCCCCTGTCCTCAGCCCCGTCAGCCCCGAGGTAACGACATACACTTTGACACACTTTAACACATTTTGACACAGACCCTCGTCCACATACTTTTGTCTCTTTGTGACACCAGAGAACATAAATAAACACAAAACATTAAAGTGCAGACTGACCTGCTGCCAGAATCTGATTTCCTCGCGTCTTAAATTAAATAAAATAAATTGACACAGGTATTTAAAAAAAAAAAAAAAAAGTCAGATTATAGCGTAAGAATCAGGAAGTGGAAGTCCAGTTGCCTACGATATAGCACTTAAAGCCTCGTATCCACCGAGCAGTTCAGTTCAGTTCAGTTCAGTTCAGATCAGATCAGTTTTCTGTCTCCACAGTGAAAGTTGTGGATGGTCCCAACAGAAGCGTTCCTTAGCGTCCCCATGTTTGGTCCCCCCTCTGTTGGGGTACCTAGCACACAGATCTGGTACTAAAAGGTGGAGCTAGAAACCCTGCAGTCTGATTGGTCAGTAGAGGACGCTCACTCTGGTTTTATGTAACCTCTGTTCATACATCAGTAAACTACAACTATAAAATGAAAGAGAAAAAATAACTTCATTCACTGGGCCGACTGCCGGCAACTTTTAAGGTGGAACGTTAACTTGTAATGTTACTCAATGCATGAGTTGATGACGTGAATCCATCAGCACACCTTAAATTTCACTGTGACAACTTTGACCATCACTTTACTTTTTATATGACACACACTTTTAGTAATGACTTTAAAAATATAGATTAATTTGGAGTGGGAGTGGGCAGAGGGAACCAGTTCACCTGGCTCTGTTTAGTAATCAAGCATCACGTTTGTTTAATCTGGACACAAACAGAAACTTAAAATCTCAGTCTGTAGTCTCCAGTCAATCTTTTGTCTCTTCGTTTAAAGCAGTTTCTACCTGTTGGTGTGAGAGATTATTTACCAGCCCCATCCCAAACACACTCGGTCAGGAGACGTTCACTGTCACTGTAGAGAACCAGGAACTATGATGACAGTAAAAAGAAAACATGACAGTGATATTAAATGTCTGGATCAGAGACTGACCTGTGGATATTCTCTTCTTCTTCTCCTCTGTCAGTCTGTCTGTCCAGCATCTCTCAGTGTCTCTGCCCACACAGATGGACCCCGCCCCCTCAACAACCTGACGCTTCACCCATCATCGGATGCACCGGTCAGTCTACGGCAGCTCAGATATAATCAGTTCCTTATGTGAATATTTAGATGGATCCTGCTGATTTTGGTGACCTGATTTGTTCCCCCCCAAAAACCCACCAGAGCTCAGATCTGAACTTGTTCCACCAGAGTATTGGTTGTTGTACAGGTGAAGCTACAGAGGGATAAATCAGTGTTTCCATGTGTCCATCGGTGTTGATTTTTTTGGGGATTTTAAAGTGTAAACTGATCTGTGATCTGTGGTCCGAACAGGACGAGACGAGCGATGAAGCCGAGCAGAACAACAGGAACAGAAGCAGCAACATTAACAGCGCCACCAAGAGTCTGAGGGAGAGCGACGCCTCCAAGAAGGTACAGGTCTGAGTCACACAGTCACACACTGTGGGAGCGAGTACTCAGACCTCTGTGCCCACTGGGCGGGGGCGGAGGGTTCGCTCTGTGCCAGGGGCCGTATTCACAAACAGTCATACCCTTTTTCCACTGTCACTCTTGGCCGCACCGAGTCACACCATGCTGCGCCAATTTGTGTTTCCATTATCAGTGTAGACGCGCCACGCAATGCCAAGCTGTGCTGGAGATAGCTGGGAGAGAGTTGCTGCCCAAAGCGAAGGAGTTTAGACCCTGCGCCGTAGCCTACACCATTGTGAGCATTTATACCTGTGCTGTGGTGTGTCTGTGTCACTCTGCAGTTACACCTCCAAAACACTAGTCAGCGGCAGAGGTTTCTGTGAAGTGCTGTAAAGTTTAGTTGATTCAAACACATTAAACACACATTAAACACATATTAAACACACATTAAACACATATTAAACAAACACACATTAAACACATATTAAACACACATTAAACATGGCTTAATAGAGACAGTGTCAAACACAAATCAGCTTCACTATAACTCGCAGCATTCACAGACAAACACTTGTCTTTATCTGGACACATTTTCCCACAAATACAACATGCTAACATTATTAGCACAAGCCTATGGCATTTTACATTGTATAAATTAGCCTAGCAGCTAGCAGAGATTTCCTCTGCTCATATTTCAGCCAGGATAAATCACACACAGTGTGTGGAGGCTTTATTGTCTGCGTCACTGTGATGTGGAGTTACATTTCTGGGGAGCTGCACGTCAGGCTACGGCGTAGGGTACGGCGATGATTTGATGCAGATGTATAAATTCCGTCTCAGCCATGCTTGTTGTTGCCATGGGTAACAGTATGAGGTCAATATGTCAAAGTTGAAATATCGCAAGTGTCACAATATGAATTTTTCATATCACAAAAAAAATTATATTGGTATTATTGTGAAAGAGATGACATGGCACACCCCTAGTCAGATGATTGGCGGTTTGGTGTGAATCCTGCAGTGATGTAGGCGCTGCTCAGGACCGTTGTGGTTCAGAGGGAGCTGAGCCGGAAGGCAGAGCATTCGATTTCCTGGTCCATCTCCATCCCAACCCTCACCTATGGTCATGAGCTCTGGGTAGTGACTGAAAGAATGAGGTCACAGATACAAGCGTGTGAAATGAGTTTCCTCTGTAGGGTGTCTGGGCTCAGCCTTAGAGATAGGGGGAGGAGTCAGACATCTGGAGGGAGCTCGCAGTAGAGTCGCTGCTCCTTCACATCAAAAGGGGTCAGTTGAGGTGGTTCAACATCTGATCAGGATCCTTCTGGGTGCCTCCTGCTGGAGGTGTTCTGGGCACGTCCCACTGGTAGGAGGCCCCGGGGCAGACCCAGAACACACTGGAGGGATTATACATCTCATCTGGTCTGGGAACACCTCGGGGGGAGGGACGTCCGGGGTGCTTTGCTCAGCCTGCTGGCCCCAGATAAGGGGTTGAAAAGGGACGGATCCAATCAGATATCTGAAATCGGATCAAGTTACATCTGAATAACTGAGCCCTGGAGTCTGGTGGGTTTGGTGATGGTGATGATTTCAGGACTGTTTCTGCTTTAACTAAAAAGATTTTACTCTTTAACAAGGAGCTCTATCTCTGTAGGGATCCTATATGTTGTCAGACACTCAGAATATCGATCTGAGCCTGTCAGTGACAAAAACAAACACTGTTAGAGGACGTACATTGACAGTGTCTGGTTGTGAGGAGTCAAGACTGCAAAATACCGAAGTTTCTCTTTTCACTAACTTTACTGAAGAACTTCATTATTTCCCAGAAGTTTGTTGTGTTTGAGTCGTTTTCTCTGTTTGTTCTCTGCAGAAAATTAAATTTGATAATGAAATAATTAGATTAACCGTCAGGAAAAATCTGTCCTGTGTTCTCAGCTGGTGATAGTGTGTGTGTGTGTGTGTGTGTGTCCTGCAGAGGCTGAAGGTTGCAGAGTCTCCAGAAAATGAGCTTCAGGCTCCGAAGGCGTCTCTGGAGCAGCAGGTAACAACAGAAAAACTGAATTTAGATCATCAGACAAGTAATGTGAGAGACAATGACACAGTCAGATTATAACCCCCACCATGATGCGTTCACCTGATCCCGCCTGTCACCAGAGAGTCTGTGTTTGTACCTGATTTTTCACGTCTCACATCAGTGTGATCGTTTCTCTTCAGGAATAAAAACATTTAATGTTTCAGTGGTTTTCTTTCTTCAGTGTCAGTGTGTGTCCGTCTGTTCACTGCTGACACTGATCCGTCTGCTGCTTCACTGAGCTGATCAATAACTTAAATCTGATCTGTCTGTGTGTGTGTGTGTGTGTGTGTGTGTGTGTGTGTCCAGTCCTGCAGGTCCTCCAGCAGCTCCAGTAAACAGACGGCAGCATCTCCTCCTCTGATCAGCCCCGACCTACAGACCGCCAACAGAGGTACGTGCTCACACACAGAGTATTTGAACTGTTACTGAGGTAAAACATCAGAGGTCGACTGCTGAGACAGGAAGCTCAGCTGGTGGAATCTGGCGGGCTGGTTGCCATGGAAACCGACGCATATACTCTGTTCGTATCTGCAGATGAACTGAAAAGGAGTTTTCTGATCGACTCTAACGGTGAAGTATCGTCAGTCTACAAGTTATCAAGGTATCAGTCAGTCGGTAGAAAGGTAAGTAGGTTGATGGGTAGGTAGGTAGTTAGGTCAGTAGGTAGGTTGGTCGGTCATTCCGTAGGTAGGTAGGTTGGTAAATAGGTAAATAGATCCGTCAGTAGGTAGGTCGTCGCTAGGTAGGTCATATGTATCCACCTACTTACAGTACAGGCCAAAAGTTTGGACACACCTTCTCATTCAATGCGTTTTCTTTATTTTCATGACTGTTTACATTGTAGATTCTCACTGAAGGCATCAAAACTATGAATGAACACATGTGGAGTTATGTACTTAACAAAAAAAGGTGAAATAACTGAAAACATGTTTTATATTCTAGTTTCTTCAAAATAGCCACCCTTTGCTCTGATTACTGCTTTGCACACTCTTGGCATTCTCTCCATGAGCTTCAAGAGGTAGTCACCTGAAATGGTTT